TATTTTAATGTTTTTAAGTGTTTTTATTGGATTCTTGGGCTGGTTTCTTCAATCATATAAATACCCTTTTGCATTAACTATTTCCAACCACCCAAGAGAGTTTTAAAAGAGTTTAAAAGTTTGATTTAGTTTATTTTAAGTTTGGGGTTTGGTTTTCACAAAGAGGAGCTTACATCTTTGATTGAGGAATTCATCCTCAATATCTCATCATCCACTCTTTGTGTTTATAGAGAAGTTTCCCTAACTCATTACCTAGTATTTTTATTCTTGAATTTCATATCAATTTTATTCCTAGTTCTTTTTGAGTCAGATTTTATTTATACTCATTTATCGCATACACATCCCAATTGAGCTTTTAGGATTACATACACTATATTTGTGGGTTGTGGTGAGTGATATTGTGAGAGTGAGCTTCATTGTGTTCTCATTCATAATTAGAGAACAAATCTTGTAATTGAACCTTATTGCGAGAGTATCACTTTGTAATACACATTTATATCGAGAGGAGTGTGTGGTGAGGACGTAATCGATACCAAGAGGAGTGGCGTCAGCAGTAAAGCCTAGAGAGAGGTAGTAAAGCCGAGCACTTGAGGGAGGCGATACGTAAGGACCAACACTTGAGGTTGTAGTTTGTGTATGTACATTGTGAGTGTCTTGTAGAGTTTTCGGTGAACTAGAAAACTGTGTGTGAGGTGTAAACGTTATTCGGGTGATCGTAGACAACCTGAATATGATAGTGGATTTCTCCCCGGGAGTGGAGAGCAGAGACGTAAGACAGAAGGTCCGAACTCCGTGATCATATTGCTTGTTTTAGTTTGCATTTGCGCACTCTTGTTGTTCCTATTTTTAGCCTTTGCCTCTTTGTTTATGTTGTCCAATATTTTGTTTACCCTTGTTTATATTGCATATCCTTGCTAATAATTCATTGCATATCTTATTTGCTAGGATAACTTATTAATTAGTTTTGATTTACCATAAAATCGGATTAAATTAGCATAAACCCTATTCAACCCACCCCCCCCCACCCCCCCCCCCCCCCCCTCTAGGGTTCTTTCCTAGTGGCATTAGGGTGCTTTCAAATACTAATGCTTGTCTATCAACATTAGAAAAAGTTATCAATGAAAAGAATTGTACGATTCATGACCTTGAAAAAGGGTACCATAGGTGCAAAAGAATCATGGAAAACCTCATAAGCAAATCAACCTTGACAATGTCAAAGGCAATGAGAAATCAAAAAGAACAAATGCAAGATTCTTTGGGTTCAAGCTCTAGAAATCTGAGATCAATTCTAAGGAAAATTGAAATCAAAGATCTGTCAGTTACCAAAATTGATGAGTTTGTCGAACTAGTCAATTATTTTAAATTTGATATTTCAAAATATCAAGCACAAAGAAAATTAAAAGACATGCTCGACAGTTATCAACGCAACATGATAGATGATCAGGCAATGCTATATATCTTACTTTGAAAAGCCGATAGACGATGGAATAAATTCATTTTTCAAGTCAGCTTCACAGGTCATATTAAATCAATATGATCGATTAAGGGTACTGGCCAGTTTTGAGCTCATACCCTCTCGTAAAGAACATATCTAAAAAGGTGTAGTACATAAATTATATCTTGATAAAACTAGACCAGAAGAATATAAATTATTCATTCCTGATATATGCAATCAGGCACTTTAAAAAATAGGAAAATTTCAAAGAGTATTCGAGTTCACTATATGGGCGATATGGGAAGAACGCAATTTACTCGAATACTATCCTTCCTACTAGATTTGGAGGCTCGACCCATTGGTAAGAGAACCCCACTTCAAACATGTTCCTTTCAACGAGAAGGAGTATGATCTTAAAAAAGAAAAAGAAACGGTTGCCATCGAATTCTTTGAAGCGCTGCACTATAATGATGGGAAAATTAATGTAAAAGATTATATTATTCTTTATCCCCCTCACTTGGTGTTCAAAGAATAAGAGTTGCATGAAAAATTTCGAAGAAGAAGTGGTCTTAGGACCAATTAATTGCCTGCCAGTCAAAGGAACAATATGAGTCAATGATGATTACAGAAGGAGGCACTTCACCAGTACGTTCTTTCGACCAAAGATACAACTCCAGAAACGGATTAAAGCGTGGTGGGACCCGACTGATTCTAGAAGCACCAGGGAAAATTATGGAAGACTGATTCCATTCTCATTCTGGGATGAATCTTTTATCTTCCCTACCAAAAGAAACGAATTTGTACCTGCATCCGTGGACCACCTCAAACAAAATTTAGTTCCTTGTTCTTTTTCCCGATATAGTACTTAAGCTGCATTTGGATAAGTTTTTATGTTGGCTATGGAACACTGATCGATCTGTCCCTCCAGTTATGTAGTCGTCGGCACTTGCCAGGTGCTTCCACAGGGTCACACATCTCGTAATTGCTCTTCACTTGATCTCTCTTTTTCCTTAATTCGTTGGTATCCGGAGTGACTCAGTTTTTAAGTTCATACTTCGATTTTGGTTCTGTTAGCAATGTTTTCCCTCGGGTATTATAATGGGATTCGGATCCTCTCCACTACAAAAAAAATAGTCGAAGGACCACTACATAATCACAACCATTGATTATCTAGTTGATGGTTATGATTTTTTCTTTTAGTGCAAATTAAGAATGAGTGCAATACACGGGGGTATGGTAAATGTTAGATTTAGATTGTATCATAACCGTCTACTAAATAATCAATGCTTGAGATTAAAAGTAGTGGTCTCTCCACTACTTTTACAAAGTGGAGAGGATCCAAATCCAAAAGGGATTCGGATCCTCTCCACTACAAAAAAAAAAATAGTGGAAGGACCACTACATAATCACAGCCATTGATTATCTAGTTGATGGTTATGATTTTTTCTTTTAGTGCAAATTAAGAATGAGTGCAATACACGGGGGTATGGTAAGTGTTAGATTTAGATTGTATCATAACCGCCTACTAAATAATCAATAATTGAGATTAAAAGTAGTGGTCTCTCCATTACTTTTTTGTAGTGGAGAGGATCCAAATCCCCTCAAAAGGGCACTCACCATAAGATCCTCGATATCGTGGCGGGTTTGGTGCCAAAAAAACACACTGAGCTAAGGTTTCCCTCAAAAGATTGTGTTTCAACGTAATAATGCGTTTGATCCCTTTCTTCTAGAATTCCTTGGTCCCTGTACTTTGATGGTGTCATTATAATGGATTTGGATCCTCTCCACTACAAAAAAGTAGTGGAGAGACCACTACTTTTAATCTTAAGCATTGATTATTTAGTAGGCGGTTATGATACAATCTAAATCTAACACTTACCATACCCCCGTGTATTGCACTCATTCTTAATTTGCACTAAAAGAAAAAATCATAACCATCAACTAGATAATCAATGGCTGTGATTATGTAGTGGTCCCTCCACTATTTTTTTTGTAGTGGAGAGGATCCGAATCCCTTTTGAGGGTAGCATCCAGGATATTGCGGATCATGTCGGGCGAGTCGGGCTCAATTGCGGGATCAAAATTGCACCCGTTACGGGCTGTTTTAATTTCATCATTATTGGGTTTCGAATATAAGTTTGCAAACCCAAACCCGACCCAGTTATCCAGTTCCTGACGCATAAACAGCCCCCTAGTCGGCCCTCGAGGGCAAAACTTCCGCCCCAATATCCATCGCGACTCAAAACTGAAGCCTCCTCGTCTTCGAGACTCTGACGTTGGGGGTACTCTCTCTCTCTCTCTCTCTAATCTCCTTCTCTCTCTCTAATCTCCTTCTCTCTCTCTCTCAGACGCAATTAGGGTTTTGACTGGAAACTAGGGCTTCAAGGCTCATCACGCATCAAGTGCTCCCTCAACATCATATGGTTTTTTTTTTTTTTGTATGTTTAGACTATTAACATTTATTAAGTATGCTTTAGAATGCATTCAAGACATTATATGATGATTACGCACACCATCTGATATATGGCAATCCAATATTTAGTACATATCCTCTGAATTATCTCCGATTTCTGCTATCCGACATGGATTTTAGCCACCTAACGTGAACCCAACATCCGGCATTTAAAAACCTTTGTAAGTAAGAAAAGATTATATGCGAGCATGTGAAACTATTCAGGACTCTTATAGTAGTATTACAAAAGAGTAGTTACGAGTACAACCTATCGTCATTATCATCCAAGAGTTTTTACTTGTGAAAAATGCGAGCTTCACAGTGCTGCTTCTTCATATGAAGACTTCACAAAGAATTTGATGGAAATTTTAGTAAAAAAGGCTATCAGCTTGACCTTATCAACCTTCTGCAATGGTGGGTGCCAAGTCCGAAGAATCTCTGGACAAGGAGGGCCTTGAATTTAAAGGCTATGACTAGCCAACCGTGAGTTGAGAAAAGTACATTATTGTGCATGCATTTAGGTTCATACAACCAGTTATCAAGACTAAAATTATCCTAGGCTTCAAGGAATTTAGATGGGGGAAGATGACAAGATCTGCCTTATGAATTTTTGTTCGCCTCTGAGCCATTATACTGCCAAGAGCTAACTTGTTCCTTGATTTCATGATGCAACTTAGGAATCTATTAAGGTACACTTGAGATAAAAACAAGAGACTTATCTACATTCATCAGAACAATCCATAGAAAACTTCTGACCAGATAAAAAAAAAATTAGAACAAGACCACTAAATATATACAGCTTAAAGTATCATATTTTACTCGTTCAACTAATTGCAACATCCAAATTAGAAAAACTAATTACTATATTTAAACTACTCATTTCACTATTTAACTATAATCTTGCTTTACAAGACAACCAGTGTGCACCCCGTGCAAAGCACGACCCCCTATTTTTTTAAGCACTGTATTTTGAACTTGCCTCCCTGTAAGTTTTAATATATTTGATTTGATTATTGTATGTTTAAAATTAAAAATTATATCTACTCTTCTATACTTAAAGAATGATCCAACTTTTAATACATTTGATTTAAAAATCATATATGCTCCTCTATACTTAAAGGAGGATCCAAGTTTTAATACATTTGATTTGCTTTACTGTTTATGATATAGTATATTTGTAGCATGAATAGTGACTTCAAGTAGAGGAGCAGATTTGATTCACTATTTATGATACAGTAAATTACTACAACGCACAGTTCATACTACAGTAATTTACTGTAACAATTACTATAGCATGGACAGTAACTCTTTGGATTTTCCTTTAGGTATAGAGGAGTAGATACAGTTCTTATTAGCAAATAATAACACGAAGTAATTAGTTTGATGTTATACATGCAATGCATAAAATTATGACTAAGAAGATTTTTCACGCTTTTATGTGGTAAGTATACATTGCCGGCTCTATCTAATATAACTACAAGGAGATGACATGTGATGTACTTGAACAGAACTTGTATTCTATATTGTATGCGACCAACGAACTCTTACTAATGCAAGGACTTTTCGCTTATAACATTAAAACACTCTTAAAATAATGCCAAGTTTGTTTGTCATGTTAATTGCATGTACGTATACACACACTAACACAATAACTCTACTGTTTGTTTGGTTAAGGGATGGGCTAAGAGGATGGATATTTCAGTGTTAATCAATGAGATATCATGAAATTAAACTTTCTACCAGCATAAATTTTCAATGTCACAATTCTAGAGAAATTTAGGACTCTATCCTATCAGGACTCCTGTCTGACATTGCTGATTACTTATTATGGAACCAAGTCAAAAACTGATTTTGTGGTTTTATCCAAATGACCTTATATTTATATGAATGTATAATTATACAAAGAGTATTCTTTTTGTAATATCCCAGTACACACATGCGGGGGGGGCGCGCGCGCGCACAATCAAGAAGTGATAGGCCAATTTAGGATCCGTTTTTGTATAACTTAAGCAAATTTTCATATATATTTTGATAGGACCCTATTTCCTTCTTTGCTGAAGAAAGAAGACTTTACAGCTTCATAAATGTTTCCTCAAGAACATCTAAATTCTTATCGAATCATTTAATTTGTCAGATTCTTAGATTAATTTCATTGTGTTCCATCAATCTGTTTGTTTACTGGTCCTACAGAACGGAAGAATTTGCCTAGAATTTCACACGTCTGCCATAACAAGCAACATAAGGAGAAGCCTTAACCAAGCCAATGAACCATGAAGAACCTATATTACTTTGTTGAAATATGTGAATCAAGGGCCTCCCTTAAACTATTTTCATGTTTTGTTTTACCACTAGAAACACATTCATTGAAGATATCACGAGAGAGCTTATTGTTTTCTCTGCATCACAATTCTTCCAGATATCTGCGACACATTTCTTGAGGATATCACGAGAAACCTACCTCCAGCCTCTATTTTTCTTTGCTTGATGTAAGTTTCTATTCATGTTTTGTATTACTTCACTGTTCTTGCAGGTCCTTGAGTAGCTCTAGACAAAAAAGCTCCAAAATTCTAGCTATCTATGTCACATACAAATATTGATGCTTTATCCTCTGATCCCTCTAAACCCTCACCAGACTCGATGGTGGAGTGTGGACTAGAAGAAGAAGATGATTGGGTTGTTGTAAAAAAGCAAAAGATCACCATTCTGATTCCTCCACCATCACCTTTACAGACACAACGTACAAGTGCAGAGAAAACTGAACCTGTGATAGTTAAAAGTTCAGGTGTTCCGAATAAAAGGCATCACAGGCTTGCGAAGGATAAACACAAGGAACTGTCTACAACGTCAGCTCTAGTCAATGGTTCTGAAGATGATATTGGGACCACCTCACAAGCTCAAGTTCCTATTTGCAATCCCGTTGCTTCTCCTAAGAAGTTTAAACAGCCATCCTTGACTAAAGCTAATGATAACGTAAAGAGCAATGTTGCACATCGGAAATCAATAAAATTTCCAAGATTACTTCCAAGCGGAGCAGCAAATGTTGTTAATCGGAGAGTAAGAGCAGTGAACTTGGAGAGGAAACTCAAAGAATTGGGTGGGCTGAGGAGGTGGTTGGTGTCGCGGGGGCTTGATCGGTTCATAAAGGTCTTTGAGAGGGAAAAGGTGGGAAAATATGAGTTGGTAAATCTTACAATGAGCATGCTCAAAGACATGGGAACTGATGCTGTTGGACCAAGGAGGAAACTCATTCATGCTATTGACGGTTTGTGCCAGCCTGACTGTTTCAAGGCCTTTCAATAACATACTTGGTATGAGATCCTTGCGTAGTTGTTTCTTTTGAATATGCAGCATTGTCGGTAGCATGGTGCTAATGTCCTTGTTCTTCTTGTTTTCTATTGTGCATACTGTTGTATTCAGACCTTTCTCTTCCTTTCTCATGTACTCATGCCTGAATTTGTTCATTTCTTCTTTTTTTGTGACATATGTATCAGTCCAACAAATACTTCGACTTAAACTTTTCACTTGTGACAGGGATATTGAAGTCCTTTGAATATCTGTTACAAGTGTGTAGTTCTGGATAATGAAACTTGTTTTCCATATAAGGATTTAGATACTTAGATGGATGAAAATATGCTCATTGCACAACCAATATCATACCTTCGCTTGAACCACTCGTAATGTCAATGGAAGGAGGCTTGATGTAATCTTCACCGATCATCAATCAGTTTTCACTTGCCCAAAATGAATCACCTGTATTTAATTTCTACAGTATCAAGGCAGGGATTGTTATTTCTTCTGCGTGTCTTTTCTCAAAGTTGAATCGCCTCAACAAGCTGCTGTAGACCATTTATTTTCTTGTTCAGAACTGGTGCGTGGTGTTTCTTGGGAATTATTTCAAGTTCTCCAAGGTTATTTGTCTAGGTTTGTTGCATTCTTATAAATAATACATCTGGTAAGGGATTACTTGAGCTTATCTTTTTACAGGTTGGCTATAACTTGGGAAATTATCGATGTTAATCCCACATCCATACATCATGATGCACTACATCTTACAAAAACTTGATAAAGATTACGAAGTAAAACAACTAAATGCCTAATAGGCTGCCTTCAAATTGGTCTCTGCAGGAGGAGCACGAATAGCAAGGGGAACAAAATGATCGTCGTTATCGTTGAGTAAGCCATCGTCAAAGTTCTTGAGATAGCTAGCGACGTCATAACCAAAAGTGTTGCTGGGTCTCGAAGAGTAGCAAGAGCAGTAGTTGCCGATCTTCTTTGTCCTCCTGCAGCTAGACCCTCTACATTCTTTCACCAGTCTCTTGAAGGCGTCTCTCCACCTCCTCTGAACTCTTGTTGCTGTTTCTTTGTTGCTATCATCCTCACCATCATCACGGCTTCGGTCTCCTAACAGGTGAAACCTTGAGGAGCTCTGATTAAACTTACTCGGGAGAGATGAAATTCCACAACCACACAAATGAAGATGCATGTTGTGATCAGATGAATTTGCAGTCGGCGACGATGTTTCCGCGTTGGTAGTTCTGCTAAAGTCCATTTCATTCACTGGTGGAAGTGTAGTAATGAAAGTGGAGAAAGAAGTAAGAAGAAGATGATGATGATGATGAAGAGGAAAGGGTTGGTGAGCGCGTGTTTGCGTGGTGAAAGCTGTAGCTGCTCTTTCTATGGTTTATATACATTTGTATGTTACACTGAACCAACAGGAGGATTAGATGTAGGGGAACTTTTTTTTTTTTTTTTTTTGGTTCTTTAATGCGTAGGTAAGCAAAGGAGAATAGCATCCATTGGTATATAAATAATATTTTTGTTCTTGATTTCTGATTGGGGCGGCAATCCCCATGTAATATATTTTTTGTACATGCTAGGTGGCTACTGAAGTATTTCAAGAATCACCGCATCAGGATGCACGAGACTGCTGCTGTTGCCCCTGGGTGCAACGGATACTTTGTATGAAAGAAACAGAAAACAATGTATAATTCTTAGTTTTTTCTTTAGGCTAGCCGTTATCATCTTCACCTTTTCGTTACTAAATTGCCATAGGCGAAGCCTCTTGCATTGATTTAATTTTTTAATGAAAGTACAAGAAACTCTCTTTATTATACCCTACTTAAGAAGCCTGTTTATCTATAAACGTACAATAGTGAAACCCTTTTATCTATAATCATTAATAAAACCGTTACTCTTCTGTAATCATTCTGCATGTAAACATCTGGAGGTTTTTTCCCCCTCAAGATAAATTACAAACTAATGGTCTCGCTAATGATCTTAGACGAGAGTTTTTTTTTTTTTTTTTTTGTTTAAATTACAAACTAATGGTCTCGCTAATGATCTTAGACGAGAGTTTTTTTTTTTTTTTTTTTGGTTAAACTTCGTAAATAATAAGGGGCTGAAAAACAATATATAGATGGAACACATTTCCTGCAACTTACCCCTTTTTTTTTTAATTTTCTTACGTTTCACATTTGTACCATTTGGACTTGTGTGTGTTATGGTAATAGATCAGCTTCCGTAGAATTAGGGAGTGGGTACCGAAAGCAAAAGCAGAGCAGACCACACATGAGAAGTGAGGTGTGGCTCTGCATGTGCGTTTTGGCGCTATCAATAAATCAAATAGCAATAATGCACATAAACATACGTTACCAACAAAGTAATAATGCAGATGCCCGTGCGTACACCTGCAAAATAACCACCAGTTTGTGGCAAAAAACTGAGGTCCCACTTTTTCCTGAGCCCATACCGTGACTAAGCATCACATAGCGAGTCATATATACTAGGAATTTACTTAGGCCTGTCCATCCGGGCCGGGCCGGGCAAAACCGGAGCCCGGACCCGGACCCGGGTACACCGGGCCGGGTCAAGGCCCGGGCCCGGGCCCGACCGGGCCGGGTTCCGGGCCGGGTTTTTTCTTTTTTTAAAATTTTTTTTTTTCAAATTTTTAAATTTTATTTAAGTTTTAAATTATAAAAAAAGACAAAAAATAATAATAAAATAATAATTTTATTAATCACTTAAAATGACATAAATTATAAATAAAAAATTATAAAAATAAATTCTTTATTAATAATTAATAAATCATTTATAAATTATAAGTATAAATTTATTTTGGAATTCATCACATCACAATAGATAAGTACATCCCACCTAGGTTTTTTTAAATTTCTTTTCTTTTTTTTGATAAAAAAATGCTAAAAATTAGTTTAATATTATTATATTTTATATAATTATGTATTAGTATATACTTCTAAATTATTATGTAACTATATATTATATATACATATATTATATGTAAATATATTGTATATATTTATAAGTTATAATTTAAGAGAGAGAGAATCGCATAAGTAACCATGTAGTCGTTGCTCGTTGGGCCAATGAGGAAGTAACTGTTGTAATATACTATACTTATATACTAAGAGAGAGAGTATACACACACACACACACACACACACACATATTATACATATATAAGAGAGAGTATACTTATATATACATATATACTAAGAGAGAGAGTATATTAGTATATATATATATATACACATATATTATACATATATAAGAGAGTGTATACTAATATATACTTATATAAGAGAGAGTATACATATATAAGAGAGAGTATACTTATATATACATATATACTAAAAGAGAGAGTATATTAGTATATATATATACACACATATATTATACATATATAAGAGAGTGTATACTTATATATACTTATATAAGAGAGACTATACATATATAAGAGAGAGTATACTTATATATACATATATACTAAGAGAGAGAGTATATTAGTATATATATATATAAAAGAGAAAGTATATTTATATATACTTATACATATATATACTTATATACTAAGAGAGAGTATATATATACACACACATATATTATACATATATAAGAGAGTGTATACCTATATATACTTATATAAGAGAGAGTATACATATATAAGAGAGAGTATACTTATATATACATATATACTAAGAGAGAGAGTATATATATACATACATACATACATTATACATATATAAGAGAGAGTATATATACACACACATATTATACATATATAATACTTATATATACTTACATAAGAGAGAGTATACTTATATATACTTATATACTAAGAGAGAGTATATATACACACATATGACATATTATACATATATAGAAATATATTATATAAGAGAGAGTATACATATATAAGAGAGAGTATACTTATATATACAAATATACTAAGAGAGAGTATATATATACATACATGCATACATTATACATATATAAGAGAGAGTTCAAAACGAGGCCGAGCGTGTAAGGGAATATTGATAGATAAGATGGAGGAGACATCAAAGGATACGAAGTTATGCCCACGCGTCTGATCTCTTTCTATTGTTTGGGATTTTTAGCCTCCCTGCATGTTACGATCTCCACAACTCGAAATCCAATCTACAATCAACAAGATATAAAATAACCACAATCAAAAAGAAGAACACCAAGATTTACGTAGTTCGGTTGACCAATTTCGAACTACATTCACGGGGTAACAATATGAGAAATTCCACTATGTATCAGGAAAAACTACAAGAGGAACCACTCAACTCTCGTCACTCAACCACTCAACTCTCGTCACTCACATACATAACCAACTCTCATATTCTCTCTAAAACTCAGTCCTTATAATCTTTTGAACGAACAAAAGCTATGAAACCCTCTCCCAATATTATAATCTTTTGCACGGATAAAGGTCACGAAACTCTCGTCTCTTGCACAATATTCTTAAATCAGGTTACGCCTTCTGCTAACCCTAGATTATAAGAATATTAGCTATCTCTCATCTCCTTGATTTGTTTTCTCCAATAATAGAAGAATATATATAGGGAAACCAAAACCCTATCTCTAGCCTAACTTTCTAATTAGATAGGATTCAAACTCCTAATCATGATGAGACTCAATCTCCTAATCATGATAGATCTCTAGCGCTATCAATTTTCATGAATTTAGACACGATCCCAACAATCTCCACCTTAGATCTGATTCCCAAACTCCCTTGAAGATATATTATCGCCATCTTAAAACTTTTCCTCTCCTGCTAGGATCTTCTACTCTTTTACACTTCAAATCGAAGCCCACACTCCTAATCAAAACACCCGTACTCCAACCTGGATGTCCCTATGACCCTCACTTTCATCTGCTTTGAAGATATTTTTACCACATCTAGCATTAGAAGCAAATTAACTATGCTTCTCCTCCCAAACTAAACTTGATAGTAGCATTCCCCCACTTGCTGTCCTCGTACTCCATCTGCATCGCTCGTCTCAAATCATATTTGTGCACCTCTCCTACTCCACACTAAGAGCCGGATGCCTCTATCTCCTCTATCATTTGGCCTGGACTGAATATGAACGCTCATCGTCTTTAAGTCTAATGTCACCATCTCCATCAGCATGTGTGCCACACAGTCGTGCCTTCTTGCAAGCTCCACCTAATATGGCAATGTCCTCCTCGAGTCTGCACACCAACCAACTCTTTCTCCCGTGATGACTCTGAATAACTATATGCTGACAACTCTACTACTATAATCACGTCTGATTTTCTACATTAGTCTCATCCGTCACATACTCATTTGCCCTATCTGCCACTAAATCTGTCTCGTTACCACCATCAGAACGTATCAGCACTTTCTGACAAATCTGAGCAAAAAATAAAAAAAAATCAAACCCCCCCCCCCCATCGCATTCAGAGCACTACAAAGCATAGGAATCAACTCTTGTATCGTCGAAATCCGTCTCCAAACCCTGGATCAGAAGACAAATTAATCTGCATCATCGGATTTGATTTAATAATTTTTAACCAAACCCTCACCCATGTGAATAGTATTCTCATCGCTACAATGTTCCTGCCGCTATAGTACCTTCTTTTTTTCATCTTGATTCTTGTAACGCTACCAATATTCACTTTTGTACGATGACTATCCTGCAAACTTGCTCTCTGATCTATCATCATGACTCGGATACCACTTGTTGGGGAATTTTAGCCTCCCAGCCTACTACGATCTCCGTAATTCGGAAGTCAACTCACATTCAACAAGATATAAAACAACCACAATTAAGAAGAATAACACCAATATTTATATGGTTTGGTCGACCAACTTCGACCTACATTCACGATGCAACAATACGAGAAATCCACTATGTATCAGAGAGAACTGCAAGAGGAATCACTCAACTCTCGTCCCTTAATCTCTCA